AACACACCTTGATATCTTTCTGGATAGCAATAACATGTTCTTCTTAATGGTTATCTACAAACGTCATGTTACCTCTCTGAGAAAGGTAGTTTTATCTCCTCCTTCCCCTGAAAACATCTCATTTCTCATCTACTTTCCTGGGGAAAAGAAAGAGAATTCAAGTGATGCCTCTCTTAGCATACTTAGAGGCTTTTCTCCTTATGGTTCTTCAGGTTTAAAAAGTATCTTTCAAAGCAGTTTTATTTGAGTGAGTTTCAGAACTCTGAACACTGTGTATTATGTCAATATGTATGAAGCTGTTTTAACTGTGTTTTCTTCTATTAAACAAGGAAGCTAATAACTGAAATATTTACATTCATAGAGAAAAGCAGTATGTGTATGCAGAGACATAAGATAGATGGATGGAAGAGCAGATAGAAAGGCAGACTTAAAAGTCATTCAAATACTGACTGATACCTTAAAAGTAAAGCATTTCTTATGACCTCTCCCTTTTACATCACAGTTCAGAAATAGGGTTGTCAGGTGTCCACTATTTGAGCGGACAGTCCACTTTTTTCACATTATGTTCACTATTTTTTTTCCACAAAATAATGGACATTTTTTTTATTCAAAAGCTTTAGGATGAAATGGTACGTAATTTAAAGCTGTACAGTCTAAGAGAATAAGGATAGGAGAATCACGTTTTGTCTTTTTTTTTCATAAGTTAGAATGAGACAAAGATCGAATATCCATTGAACTCGATTCTCTGAAAAAATTAATGATGAGATTAAAATAAAAATATATTATAAAATTATGTACAGTTCACATTTTTAAAATGTATTGTAGCTTGTGTCGACTGACCTAAAATGGCGTGTTAAAATGTTTGTAAGAAAATATGTAATTTAATTGTAATTTTTTTTTTTACTACTTACCCCCCCCCCCCCCGCTTGTCCACTATTTTTTGGAAGCAGACCTGGCAACCCTATATATAGTAAAATGAAGATCATAACTATTGACCATCTACAATGGAGATATGTTGCTCATCAAAACTCGAGTGCTAAAAGAGACCAGCAAGGATTGAAATTTCAATCTTAAGGCCTAGGAGCAATTATTTTGAAATGATATCCAAAGTTAAAGTCAATGTAATATTCTGCTTGAGAGACTGAGCTGTGAATCAGGAAGATTGTCGTTCCAGTCTTGCCAGTGCTGCAGAATTACAAGTTAGCTTCCTCTTTCTTTTTTCCCAAATTGTGTGCACAAACACTCATGTATACACCTACACATACACACCAGTAGTGGGTTTTAATTTTGTTTCCTACTGGTTTGCTTGCGGGCACACCTGCGCGCGTGACACTTCTACGCATACGCGGGTAGGTGGGTGGAACCTCCCACTGCTGCCGCTACCGGTTTGCCCGATCTAGAGTGAACCAGCGGCAACCCACCACTGATATACACACACACTGACACACTCCTTTCCAGGGATATGAAGTGATCTGTTTTTAAAATTGCTGCAGGAATACTGACCAAACAGACTATTCACAAAACACTATGCAAGGTAACAAATACCTTCTACTAGGTAATACTTAGCTTTATTAATCATGCTTCGTGGACGTCAGCTGAGACATTATGAAGCCTTTTAATTAGCATTACAATTCCTCAAACGCCTTTGCTGCTTGTTGTAATTCTAAGGTGCCTGCCATTTTGATTTATAAGTAGAAATACTTACACCTGTCAGGCAGAACAGAAGATCTGGCTGATTTTGTTAAACATTTCAGCGCTTCAGGTGGGCAGGATGTGGCTGTTGGCTTTTTTTTTCCCCTGTCAAAATCACAATACATGTGTGAATATTTCAGGGGCTGAGATTTCTACCCCTGGGAGCAGTTTTTTAATAGTATTGTGGGTCCTCCTTATTGGCATTCATTGTTCATGGTTAAACCTGCCAGAGCATAGTGAGAAGAGATGATCTTGAAAGTTGACAGCCATTGGTTATGCACATTATACTTTCTGCTACCAAGGGAAGGATGCCATTAGTGTCACGAAGTGCCCAATCAGCATCAAAACAGAGGGGAGAGAGAGACTTCTGGGGAGGAAGTAAATCTGTGTGAGCATTTCTGTCAGAACATTTCAACTGGGCCTGTCTTTTATTCAGTATTAATGAACAAAGAACCGCAGGATGCGAGCACAGCTTAGTCATTTTTTTTTTAATTAATCTTTTCTGATTTGGTCATGCATGTGCCTTGTATAGGAGCCTGACACGGTGTAGCACCCACTAACCCTGAAACGTCTCTCTTAATTTATGACTTCTTCCTTTCTCCCTTCCTTTCTTTCTTTGTAGGCTACAAGTCTTAACACTGACTGGGCTTGATGTCTGTGTCCACTTCTAGATCTCTGATGGTACAGGCCTATGCATATTTATTCAGAACAAAATCCCTCTTTGTTTAAAGACAAAAAGAAAAAGAGGGAGAGGCTTGCAGTTAGGTAAACATGCATAAGGCTGTAACGTAAAAACTTTTAAAAGCTTGTATCTTTTCCCCCTCCTAAGCGAAATATATTGCCCTGCAACCGAATTTACAGTCTGAATAATCTCTTGCTTATCTTGTCTTGGCCGATTCAGAAGATACCTTGAGTGAACTTCTTGCACAGGGTTGAAGCAGGGGTGAAATCCAGCAGGTTCTGACAGGTTCTGGAGAACCGGAAGTGAAAATTTTGAGCAGTTCGGAGAACCAGTAGCAGAAATTTTGAGTAGTTTGGAGAACTGGCAAATACCACCTCTGGCTGGCCCTAGACTGGGGTGGGAATGGAGATTTTGCAATATCCTTCCCCTGGAGTGGGGTGGGAATGGAGATTTTGCAGTATCTTCCCCTGCCATGCCCACCAAGCCATGCCATGCCCACCATGCCCATAGAACGGGTAGTAAAAAAAATTTGGATTTCACCACTGGGTTGAAGCATATACTGGACATGTCAGAGAAGGCTAGAGTAAAAGAAATTGCCTTGTAGTGAATCACAGTGTTGCCTTGTCTGGTTTTATTCCGTGAAAGGTCCTTCTCAGAATCAGCCCTGGCAGTAGAAAGATTAAGATAACTGCTTCTGACAACAAGTGCTCAGAGTAACTGCAGCAGCTCCTTTCTGTTCTTCTCAGTTGAGGACTGAACGGTTTGTCCCACTCAGCGGGTTCTTCAGCTTTTGAAGTAGCTCATTCTGTCAGATTCGGAGAAGGACAGAGTCCCATCACCAGTGTTGACCTGACAAATGTTTACTCCCGCATGTGGAATGGTGATGAAGGAGTATCATCTTGTTGGTTCATTTCCTGGCAGCAAATCGGGTGAAATCCACCAGGTTCTGAGAAGTTCTAGAGAACCGATAGTGGAAATTTTGAGCAGTTCGGAGAACCGGTAGCAGAAATTTTGAGTAGTTTCGAGAACCGGCAAATACCACCTCTGGCTGGCCCCAGAGTGGGGTGGAAATGGAGATTTTGCAATATCCTTCTCCCAGGAGTGGGGAGGGAATGGGGATTTTGCAGTATCCTTCCCCCAGGAGTGGAATGGGAATGGGGATTTTGTAGTATCCTTCCCCCAGGAGTGGGGAGGAAATGGGGATTTTGCAGTATCCTTCCCCTGTCACGCCCACCAAGCCAAGCCCACAGAACTGGTAGTAAAAAAATTTGGATTTCACCAGTGCAGCAAATGCTTCCGAGGGCAGCCCTGACTTTTCCAAACCTTATTTAGAGATGCAGGACCTTCTACATGGAAAGCAACTGTTCTACGATGGAGAAACCACCCATCTCTAGTAGTAGACCTATCAGAGATCTTTGCCTTTGAGAACAGATAATTCAATAGGTGTTAAGGCTTCTGTTCATATTCATGTTGTAAGAACACACCAGAGCCTGTATGTTTTTTATGCAATGTATATTTTGATTTAGTTTTCTGGTGTTAGCTTTCTTCTTTATTCTGATAAATGGACACAAAAATAAATCATGGTAGGCTATTTATAATCTCGACCAGAGTAATTTGTATTATGGAGGAGGGGGGAAACTTGATCTATATCTTACGTCTTTGCTAATATTCCTTGTCTGATCCTGTGCTGTGTAATTTATTCTATTGAAACATTTCATGAAGAGCTATTTATCTATTAATATACAGTTGAAGTAAGTTAAATGACTCAGTATTAAGTTAGCCAAATGGTTGTCATTGCCTTCTGGATCCATAGGAGATCAATACTGTATTTTACAGTGGTTATCCTGCACCTAGCAGATTCTAGATGCAGTGTAAAATTTAAACACAGGAGGAGGCATTGCAAAGAAAAAGCTGGACGTGTACTTTAATGCAGTGGTGAAATCCATTTTTTTTTACTACCGGTTCTGTGGGCGTGGCTTGGGGGGCATGGTGTGACTTAGTGGGCGTGGCAGGGGAAGGATACTGCAAAATCTTCATTCCCACCCCACTCCAGGGGAAGGATACTGCAAAATCCCCATTCCCTCCCCACTCCTGGGGCTAGCCAGAGGTGGTATGTGCCAGTTCTCCGAACTACTCAAAATTTCCGCTACCGGTTCTCCGAACTACTCAAAATTTCCGCTACCGGTTCTCCAGAACCTGTCAGAACCTGCTGGATTTCACCCCTGCTTTAATGGCCTAGAGTCAAAATCCAACAGACCTACACATTTCATACAACTAGAAATGGTTTCAATATTGTTATGTCTTTTTTATGGGGCCACCATATAGAAATGTGCTTGATCTTTATTGTACTGTACCTGTACCTTCACGTTCCTCTTATGGCTTTCGAAAAAATCAGAAATGAGGGCTCCTTGGTGCTCCCTGAGTTTGGTTGCAGACATTTCATGAGCCAAATTAGGTAACACCCTGAGCACCCTAAGTTTGGATAATGAGACATCTGCAAGAAAACAACTAAACTCAGAGAGCACCAAGGACCCCTCCTTTCGGCCCCAAGCTACAAATATTCCCCTTTATTAAAAACTAGAAGGAAATAGGAGTTAACTTTTTTTTCCCTCCTTTTTCCCCTCAGGAACAAATGTTCACGAAGCCCAGCGCATTCTGAACGAAAGTGGACTTCCCATTACTTCTGCAAGTGACCTTGAAGATGCTGCTAAGAAAGCAGTGGCTTGCGTGACAAAGAAATAAAGAGAAATGACACCAGAGATGACATTCCCGAGCTGCCATTGAAGACATGATTTTAACCAGCCACGAGCACCGAGATTTGGCTTAAGTGTCCTGTTAATCACAAACTGCAAAATATTCAGTGGGTGAAAAGCAAACTTGGAATTTCATTTATTACACAGAAACCTTTATTTTTCAATATTGGGACTGAATGTTCTACAAGCAAATATGAGTAACTACTGTCAGTTGCCATTTAGGGTTTCTCTTTTTAGGTGTTAATTGCTTGTGACTCTCAATTTTTCTAAGATGCTTTGATGCATCCTTAATGTGAAAAAAGGATATTTGATCACCGTTGGCCCTTGGTTAGGGATTGTTCTCAAGCTCTAAGGAACTACTAGGGCGATATCAAAGTTTAGAAGGGAGATGCCTTTTCCATATCATGTGGAGAACTTCCAAAATTAGGGGTATGATGTGGCTTGGGAACCTGATATTTGAAATACAAACAATCATAACGTCTAATTCAGGCATGCCAGAAGCTTCCACTGTGCCTCCCGTAGCTCTCTGAATTCCAAATAATATTTAATAACATTTTCCAATTAGGGCTAGAGCATCTTTATATTACATAATTGGAAATAAATGAATGTAATTAGATTTCTACCACCATCATGTCAAACTTATTATAAAATGCAATGATTGATATCCAATGTATTAGAAGAACATTCAAAATTGTAGTTCTGTGAAAGAGTCATTTTTTATTGTCCTATAAATTCACATGTGAATGCTTTAAGTACTGAAGGAGAATTACACACCCTAATGTCACATTTGGCAGTATCCGTGAACATATGCATCCAATTAATATTCACTGTCTTTAGAAATCAATATGTATAGTAGCTTAAAATAGTCTTATCATGAAGAAATCTAGCAGGGTGATTCCTTAAGGTATTTGTGCTGTTATTCTAATGTTATTAATCAGAATTGATAATAGTCAAAACTATCAGGGAACCTGCTGTCATCAGAAAGAATATGAAAAATAAATTGAGGAGTGATCCCACCTAAGCGCTTTTATATTCTGTGAATTTCAGTGCAAATGTTCACCAACTGCAACATCTTCATACTGAAGTAAAGTGGATTTCCAAGTGCTTTAACTTTTGCTTGATTGTGCCTTTGATGTTTGGGAAATATGTATTCACAAAGTGCAAAGGCTATCAAATTAATTCAATAACCACATTAAAGTGTTTAATTAACAATGGAGTTTTGCAATTCAAGATACTTGTTGAAATCAGAAGTAGGGTTATAAACAATGTTATTCAACTGACAAGCCAAGAATTTATGTGATTTTTTAATAGTAAAGAATATGAATATTTTTTGGTTTACTACAATTAAACACTATTAATAAATTTCCCCTGGGAATACTCATTTGAATTGTGCTGATCAATGCTGTCATTATTTTTACCTGGTCACTAATGGCTATCAATGAAAGTCATTTTTGAGAATTGTTTTAAAAGTCCCATGAACATAGTCATTCCATCAACTGTTAAGTAAATAAAAATATTCATGTCATACACAATATTCTTCCTATCATAAAAATCCTATAAAAGCAGGTGCGGGTTATATAAAAGTTTGTGAACTCTTTTGAATTTTCAATATTTCTGCATAAATATGATCTAAAACATGATTCGTTCTCCACACAAGTCTTAAAACTAGATTAAGTGAAGCCAGTTAAACAAATGAAAAAAGAAAACATTATACTTTTTACCTATTTAAATTTATTCTTTGCTGTATCTTCTGTTGACAACTTTCTTTTATCACTGTGTTCCTCACTTCGTATGCCACCCAAGAAATATGGCAAAGAGACAAAGCTGAAATTGTGTACTCTTTCTATGATAATATAATAATTTAGTTACTGTGTATAGAGCCATTGATTTGGGATTTAAAGGAGTAAAAATCAGTGCAATCAAGTATCAGGTTGTATTTTGCTAATGATTAACACTTTTATCTAAGGGCATAGATGTATATTTACATACATATACATGTGTGTTTGTGTGTTCCTATCAAAGTACCTGGTCTGCCCCAATATGGGAGGGAGCATACTGCTTCCCTTTCACCTTTCAGCTCCAATCCAGGAACCCTCAAGCAGTCGCAATCACGACAAACCATTTTATACCAAATTTATATCTTGCTGATAAAGAAATAAAGGAAGACTAGTATAGATCTATTTCAAGTTATCCGAGTAAGGGTATGGCTAACTGATGAGAGCTAAATAGCTTGAAATAGATCTATACTAATCTCCCTTTATTTCTTTATCAGCAAAATATAAATTTTGTATATGTGTATATATGCTCAGCTTAGTCTGAGTTGCAGGTTCTGCACAGTCCATGATCTTTGCAATTAACGTAGCCTCCGATGGGACAAGCTTACTGGACTTTTGCGAGATAGACAAGAGTCTGAGTTTCAGGGGGATTTGAGCTGGTGAGCTGCGTTGTTGTTGTTTGGCTTCATGTTTGTGGCCGTGCGAGCTCTTCATGGTGGGTGTCAGTCTGCTTCATGTATGGATTGGAGGGGTTTAAAGTGGCTAATGATGCAGCTGCGGTCTGGCTTCTGGTCCTTGGTCGTGGCTCATTATCAGTGTGGGTTTGAGTCTGCTTTCTGCGTGGATGTGTGGTGGTGACATCCTGTGTGGCTCCAGCTCAAATCCCCCTGCAACTCAGACTAAGCTGAGCACAACCAAGCCCCCACCCAAACAGAACACACCCCCAGCCAATCAGAGCACAACCAAGCCCCTAACCAATCAGAACACACCTCTACCCAATCAGAACACAGCCAAGTCCCCACCCAATCAGCTCACACCCCCACTAGCAGTTAAAAGGAAGAGACAGCTGAGATCTCACATTGCTCCTGGAAGCACGAAGCCGAGAACACCAGCCTGAAGATGACGAATGAGACTTCGTCGAAACGTCGCCAAGACACTTCCAATTTTACGTGGGAGAAGACCCGAATAACCAAAGACCTACATGTTTTCACGGGTATATATGTGTGTACAGTTAATATTTCAGGTTTCTTCCCGTGTAATTGTGAACATATCCCTAAAAGGGTAGAAGCGACGTTTCGACAGAATCTCATCTGCCATCATCAGGCTTATGTGAGGGGTCTTACTGCAAAAGACCCCTCACATAAGCCTGATGATGGCAGATGAGATTCTGTCGAAACATCGCTTCTAGCCTTTTAGGGATATGTTCACAATTACACGGGAAGAAACCCGAAATATTAACTGCACACACACACACACACACATATATATATATATATATTAACTGCACACACACACACACACACACACAGAGTTCCCATCTCATTTATTATCACAATATATCTTGTGAGGAGGTGATGGATGGCAGTTTAAACTTTATCTTGGAGAATGGACATGACTGGATCTTGTTTGCCCGACTGACTTTGCTTTTCAGAAGATCTCAAAACGTGATCACATGATCCTGGGACATTGCAACCATCATAAATAAGAGTCAGTTGCCGAGCAACTGAATTTTGATCACGTGACCATGGGGATGCTGCAATGGCTGTGAGCGAGTGAAAAATGGTCATAAGTCACTCTTTTCAGTGCCGTTGTAACTTCAAACATTCACTAAATGGACGATTATAAGCTGGATACTACCTGTACCAAGTTAATCTCCCAAGGTGGGGAACCAATAAATGCTCCGTCCTATTTTACCAGGAATCTACATGCCCCCCCCTTTCCTTTCACTATAGCTAGAGGTGTTTTGCAATTGGCTCATACAGGCTCACAAAGCCGAATTGTTAAAATTCTGAAATTTTGTGAGTCAGTTAAGAGCAGAGCTAAGCTACTACATTTAGTGCACCAATCACCTAGCAACTATCGGTTTGGCACAGCCACTTCTTAAAACATTGACTAGCTTGCTATTGATCTTAACTCTTCATTGCCAAGAGTTTCACCCTAATATCTCCAGGCACGGCTGGGCAATCCTCCTACCTGCAATTTTCCAGTGAAGCCTGAGGGTTTGGCTCAAAAGAAGGTAGCTTTTCGTGTTATTTCTGAGCCCAGCCAAGGAATCCTTCTGAGACTGTAAAGGGCCGCTTCTTTTACACTGGCTCAACACCCTTATCACAGAGACAGGCTTAATTAAAGTTTTTCTTACTCTCACTATCCAGCACAGTTTTACTGATGGAGAGGAGGTATGCTAAATTTCTCTTGAAATCAAGACTAATTTGTTTGGGAAGCTAATGTGGCCAGCTGTTGACGAAAAATAGGTTATTCTGTGAATGAGCTGCTGCCGCTTAGGAAGATAACACAGTGGGATTTTTTTTTGGCAGGATACTTGACATTTCCTAAGCTGATTCTTCAGAGCGCCGGCAGAGCATAAACAGGTCATCGCAGGAAAAGGTTGACAGTGACAAAGTGTCTGTAAACACTTCAGGGACAGGACAACTCAGAGGGCTTTTTGCCACCTAAAATAGGTTTGTGCAAACTCTGCGAGTGGAGGAGGATGCGAGGCAGAGGCAACCATTCTGTCGTTGTACGCTATACATCCAAGAAGTGGCTAAGCAATAAACGGAACAACCAAAGCAGGCAATTTGACTTGGCTCACACAGACTGTTAAGCCACCACTGTGTGGCTGGTTTGCTTTTGGCCACTGTGTATTTATTTAGCATTTAAGCCACTTGTATGGCTGCCCAGCACACAAAATGACAATAACTATAAAAGAAACACAACAATGCAATATAATGGCTCAAATCTCTATTCCATAAAGCATTTTCCAAACAGCCTCATCCAACATCCTAACCCAGTGCTTAGAGGGGGGAGAAAAAACAAGTTTTAAAGTCTTATTTAAGGTCACCAGGTTTGGGGCCATCTGAATCTCTAGAGAAATGAGGTCCAAAGGGCAGGTGCTATGATGGAGAAGGCACACCACCTGCATTCCATTGTTTTATGGAGGCAGCTCAAGTCTCTTGGATCTCATGAGACAGGCAGATAATCAGAGTACTCCAGCCCTGTAACATAATGATAAGCACCTTGAATTGAGCCTGGAAGCCTGTAGCAAGCAGTGCAGTTCTGAAAGCCATGCTGCCAGGTATGTGGTATGTGCCTAACTACCCTCATGTATTGGGGAGGAGAAAAAAACCTGAAGAACATGAGGAAAGGCCACAACCAAGGCAACAGTCAAAATTAATTTTGAGTCCAGGGCAGAAATGTACCGTATGTTTCAGAGTATAAGACGCACCTTTTTCCCCCCATAAAAGGGGGTGAAAATTTAGGTGTGTCTTATACACTGAATGTAGCCCTGCCCACCCACTGGCCCCCACCTTTTGGCCTCTGCCTCCCAGCAGTTTACCTCCTTGCAGCAAGCAGCAAGAAGAAACAGCTTGTTTCAGCTTCAGCACAGCCTAATTAGCACAAGTTGATTGGATCTGCCTCCCGACTCTCAGATGTTTTGCTCTGAGCTGTTTTGCACGGGCCCCTGCTGCTTGCTGCAAGGAGGTAAATTGATGGGAGCAGTTTTTTTTTTTTCTTTTGCTAATCAAGCTATGCTGAAAACGAAAATGAAAATAAAGCAGGCTATTTGCTGTTTGCTGCAACGAGGCAAAATTGCTGGGAGACAGAGGCAGATTTCTTTTTCTTATTTTCCTCACCAAAAAAGATAGGTGCGTCTTATAGTCCGGAGCGTTTTTTACTCCGAAAAATACAGTAATTTGTGAAAGTATTTCAGAAATGATCCCCTTAGTTCTCCCAAAGATAAAGAGGGGGTGAAGGGAAGGACATTTAGACCCCCAAAATTCTGTTACTCTAACCTTATAATAAAAATAATGTTAACATTTCAAACTTTGGTTTCTTAAATCTATTCTGCCTTGAAGGGCAAGTTGAATACCGTCTTGGTTGCAACTCTTCCTCCTGTTCATTAAGGTTATTCCTTGTCACCATTAGATCACACTGCTGAATTCTGGATGAATTGTAGCTTCCAGATGGTCTTCAAGGGTAGCCCCATGTAAAGTATGCTGTAACAGTCCAATTGGGAGGTACTTGGGGTGTGAGTGACTGAAGAAGATGCTCTACAATTGGCACCCAAGATAGAGTTGAGTAAAGGTCCTCTTGACTATGGCTGTGACTTGTTCTTCAATCCAGAACCATGAGTCTAAGAGGACTCCCAAATTGTGCATTGGTTCTGTTTGGGAGAATGTTACCCCATCCCAAGTTAAAGGCAGAAATTCTCCAAATTGAATGGCTCCTAATACTCATAGCTACTCAATCTTTCTCGGATTGAGCCAAATACAAAATCTTCCACAGACTTCTTAAGCTTTTCCTGAAAAGCTCCTTCTGCCTTTGTCCTTTCTACCAGTGGTGAAATTCAGCCGGCTCTATCCGGATCGCGCGATCCGGTAGCGCCGGCAGCGGG